CGTCAGCTACGGGGGGAAGAGAGGGGGGAGAGACAGAGGGAGGAGGGGTGTACAGGAGCTGACATTCAGGCCCGTATTAGACGCACAATACCATATGGGAGTGAATTTGCTTCCCCTTGATCCGTACAGAAGTTTCAACAAGTACCAGTTGGGGGTGAGTGAAGGCGTAGGAAAATTCTCAAAGTGACCAAAAGTGGCTATCGTTCCAAAACAAAATATTTCTGTCGATTAAATATAATAAACATATTAAACGTCTTGAGCTTTCACAGCAAAACCAGTAATCAGTAATCCACACAAGTCTTTCTTTTAATCTGAAAATCAATGGAATCTCAAAAGGTCTGTGGTCTCCAGACACTCCTATCCGTTGCGTGAAAGTGGAGGCATTTGGTTTTGCTCTCTCACCCACCGTTTGCTTTCGATACGTTCAAACTGACTGAGAAACCTCCTTAATTAAGTATCTCTGGCCTTAGACGTTTCCTCTTTACATCCAGCACATCAGGACGCACAGAGCGCAAAGTGCGTTCTCCAGTCGCACGCAAAGCATTTCCCAAGACTCGAACTCCAAGTCCCATGTGTGAACGCAGTGGGTTTTACACACCCGGTAGGTGACCAATAACTAAACTCAGCATTCATCAACCAACACTAATTTTATATTTACTGTACAGTGTGGCTGCAACCACTATAGATCAACCTTTCCTTTCAAATGGGATTAGCCTGAATGTCCATATTGGAGAGGTGTGGAGGTGATGGTGGGATCCAACAACTCCCTCTAATGGATTTTGGTGGGGTAATATTGTTGGCCCAGCGCCTCAGAGGCGGGAGTGTTGCCAACTGAGCTGGGCTGACACCGAGGTTGAAGAGCAACAAGCTAAGTGCTTTAAAAGCTTTTAAAAGCCTTTAGATTGTTGGGAAGCATTAAAAGGGGCACAGCAGTGGGGGGGGGGGGGGTCGAGAGGACTGTCATCTCCCAGGGACACACATCCACCCGCTGTCACCAGGAGGAGGAGAGAAAAAAGGAGACAAAATTGACAAAGGTAGAAGCTGATATGGTTAGTGGGAATTCTCATCCTGCTTTAAATAATGGAGACATTAAAATGCCCTCAGGTACTTTGCAAAATAGAATTCCTTCACTTGTGTACTTTAGTACAGGGTTGGGGGGGAGGATGGAGGTTAATCATAGAATTAAAGAATCTTACAGCACAGAAGGAGGCCATTCGGCCTATCTTGTCTGTGCCGGCTCTTTGAAATCAGCTGCCCAATTAGTCTCACTCTCCCGCTTTTTCCCCGTAGCTTTGCAAATTTTTCCTTTCCAGGGGAGAAATGATACCCAAAAGGCCATCTCCTGTTTTTTCTTTAATCATGATCAATCACTTAACAGTTGCAGCCTTGCTCGAGTACCGAGCCCAGTCCCTAACATCTCACAACGTCAGAAAGTGTTCCAGTTTCCCTACAATAGGCAACTCTGTACCACCACTAAATATTAATACTGTAGCAGAGTTTACACGCGACCTGAGTATTACGCATCGGAGAGACAACAGGTAGAGCTGGACAAGGGGACGCTGCCGAGGGATAATGTAGTGAAATAGAAAGCTTTTTTGCAATTCCCTTCAATTCCCCTTTCAAAATGCAAAACACGGAATAGATCACAAGGGACCTGGATATGGAAATGCTGTAGCTTTACTTTCTTGCATCAGTGTTTGAGCAGAACTCATGATACTCAATCTCATCGCATACAATAAATTGGACAGTTTTGTGCAGAGATTTCTGCCTTTACATCGTCCCCTTCAGTGTTATACCATACACCATCGTACCCTCGGACTTTACAGCAATGGTGAGTAGCTGTCCTGACTCTGACATTCCTTTCTCATTGATCCCGGTGGGCATTGATCTCCAGTGATGGGTGTTAGAGGGCAGTAAAAAGGAACCTGTTGCCCACTTTCGTTGCAAAGCCAAGAGAAAGCCACGTACTCACAATGGGTGAAATCGCTAGAGGTATTTCTGTAGGGTGCGGTAATGAATATTGAAGACATCTGGGGACAAGGAGCTCCTTTTATTTGGAAGGGGAAACAACAGGCAGTTTGTTTCACCCTTAACCTGCCCATTTATGACTTACTAGATCCTTGTTCTTATCAGCAACATACCGCTCAGACTCGCTCAATTGATGAGCTTTTCAAACTACAGGTATTCTCTGGCCCCAAGACGGTAAGAGAACGGACTCAGATCACTGCCATCAGTCTATAAGATAAAGCATTGATTGCCCTCAGGTTAAAAGAGTGAGCGAGAGAGCATAATTAATTCAACTTCAAGCAGTTGCCAGAAAACGTCTACAATGCTACAACCCTCAAGTCGCTTTCCTGACCACCAATTATAGGTAACACAGTCCTCTGATGTAGCCCACGGAAAATCCTGAACATCAGCCACTACAATTCACCCAAAACATTGATCCTGGTTTTGCTTCACCCTTAAGCAGCACTTCAACCCTACATCCCACATCTCTCCACAAAAATTTAAAAGGTTCTCTTTTTCAGAGAATCCTTAGCAATAAAGAAAAGAAAATGTTGTTGCCATTCCAACTAGCCAAACACTAAACCTCAATCTCTAGACTCAATCATGCCTTTGAGGGCTCATATCTACTATTGGATGTAAGTGTGCATCCGTGACAGACGCTAATACAACTCTAGGAATATATAGAACAGTGATATTCTGGAGCACATCATTAATAAGAGTCCACGACACATTAAATTCTAGGAAACTCTCGCAATAATTTACGTCAGAAATAAATCTGATCAGTGAGGATGCGATAATTCGGATGAACAAAACACCTCAACCTCGACTGCGATCCCCCCACCCCACTCCCCCCCAACGCACTCCAAAAGGGCTGCCACACAGCAACACATCAGACCGCAATATTCCAATTCCAAAAAAAAACTTGCTGTGTATATTGTGTGAGAAGCATCCCAAGTTCCTAACCTGCAGAGAAAACTATAGGGGTATGGGGGAAAGCGCAGGTAAATTGGACTGAAACGATTGCTCTTTAAAAGGGCCAACACTGACACAATGGGCGTTAGTTTTATGCTGTAAATTTCTATGGTTAAAATCTCAGACTTCAGATAATAAAACTAACCAGCTTCATTTGCGGTGTTTGACCTAAATGAACCCTTCCATAAGACTTGAGTTCTTTCAAATCCCTTTCAACCACCAACCACTTGAAATCTGCATGACACAATGTCCTGGAGTACGATTCTGGCCGCTGTGGTTGTCAGTTCCTCACTTGCAACCCAACCTGTGACCATGAATTCAATGCAGTCAGCAATCTAGTGTTGGGGGTTGCTGGGTGCGTGGTGAGGAGGGGGGGAAAGAAGGAAAAAATCCTTCTCTACTTCTCAATTTCAAGCACTCAACATTTCCTGCACACTGGGATCTAGGTTGCGATTTTTCTTCCTTTGTTTGTTTAGCCGGGTGACTGGCACGAGCGGAAGCCCATCACCATGTGTCAGATACCAGGCAGATTGGCTGACATAGAGCAACTTGGGACACCCAGTGAATCAGAGATGTTGAGTGCTTTAAATTGTGAAGCTGTGGTCTAAGTTGCGAGATTCATGAAAAGGATCTAATAGTAACAGCAAATTCTGCAGGTTACCCGGCTGTGTGTGAAAAGTCCAGGATTTTGTTAGATCTCAGGTCCGACATGTGTCAAGCTGGATTACAGCAACAGGAGACTCTTTAAGTGCTCTGAGATGCTACTCAAGTGAAGGGCACTGCATAAATGCTCTCTGTTGCACTTGCTGTTTGTGTCTGGAGACTTGTAGGATTCGCCACGAACAAACCCTTTTTGCAATTCTCGCAAATTGAGGCTGCAGTGTACCACAAGCAGAAAACGAGGTCTTGCGCTCACGCACTCGCTCCATCGCATCCCAAAGGGAATGAGAAATGTGGCTCAATGGTTAAAAGAATGATGAAGCAACACCAACTTATTTCTGGCCAACCAACTGACAAACAGAGAGACAGAGAGAGACGGAGAGAGACCCTCAGGCCGAAATCAATGATATTCACCCCTCTCCCTTACTTACGTGTCAAACACAGAGTTGACCATTTGGCTGTTGAAAATGTTGCTGATTGTGAAGAATTAAACCCTGTTCAGTAAAGACAGACCAATATCCTGACGTAAGAAATGAAAAGCATCAAGCCAGACCCAAAGTTTGTCCATTATGAGAGTTGCCACCTGTAAATGATGTGGACTAAATGCCAGTACAAGCTATAATATTCTTTTTTCGTTGAAATCAACATTCAGTCACAATAATACCCGACTAAAGGCACAGCACCTTCCTAAACAACTTGAGACTCGGCACTAAAGGGTCACTACCAAACAGCCAGTTCAATCGAGCTAATTGGCCCTGGCTGGGCAATGGAGGGAAGTACAAATCGTCAAGTCTTTAAATAGAGTAAATGACAGTGTGTCTATCAATAGAAAGCTACAGTCATAGGAGTACCACTGTACTAGTTACAACCAATCTATCTAGGAGTTAAAACGCAGACCTTAAATGTGTCTGTAGTTGGGTGGAAGCAGTGTAGCTGGTTTTAGGAAAAGGACAAAGAAAGCTATATTACAGCAGGTCTCACTCAGGTATTCTCATTCATTTGTGTCTTTCTTTATCATCACCCTCCTTGCTCACTGTGACTAGATTTCAGCTCATCCAGCGTTTAGTGCGTGGCCCTGTAAACCACTTTGCTTCCTTCCTCGGACACAAAAATGGATGTTATTTTTCGATGCCAGTTCAAAAACAGTCAGGCGCCATCTAAATCAGACACCAAACAAACGAACAACCAAAACGAAAGGACTGTTAACTTAGTGCATCTAATAATTCCTGTGAGAACTTGCAAAATTGCCCCCTTCCCCCTCCCCACCACCACCACCTCGCTTGCTTCTGGTCACCGCTTTCAAGCAGCAATCCGAAACCAATGTCAACAGCAACTCAGTGCATCAAAATCTCAAACGGGTGAGGCATCCTCTTAACTAGTCGAATAAACTGTTAACCAATCAACTGCGCTATTCGATTAAAAAACTGTTACATCTAACCGCGTACGTTCAATAATAAAACCCATTAGTTATATTATTTCAACTGTTCCTCAAGAACATCTCCCAGGCACACAAGGCCTTGAATATCCCTAGCATCATCCAAGCCTAGTCCGCGGATTGTCCGTTGACAAAACCTACAACGCAACCCGTTTTGGCACAATTTGGCTCAACCAACTGACCCATTATTTCACATCCTCGCTCAATGACCTTGAAAAACCACCTGAGCTCTGCTGTCCTGATGTATTGCAACAGAGGTTCGAGGTGACCTGGGACTGTTCTGTCCCTGCAGTAAAAATGCAGACTCTTGCTTCTTCCTTACTCAAAGCGACGAAGGCTCCAACCTCTCTTCTCCGTTTGATTACCACATCTTCCATTAAAGTCTTTATCCAAATAAGATGTGGCAGAAATGTCCTCTGCATTCTCTCCAGCACTCTGGAGACCCTCTTATCTCTTTGCCTCCAGTATTCAGGAGATTTTCTTCCTGAGAAGAGTGGGTTTTAAGTGATTCCAATGTGGTGCCTTCCTCTGGCTCATAGAACATCATCATAGCCCAACAGCTTTGAGTGCTGTTTGGTCTTCCAGAGTCTATAGAGACGAAAGTCAAAGTACGTCTCGATCATCCTCTTCCCTGTAATCCAACATGACAAACATCAGCAAATGGGTTCATCAACATTCATTTCTCTAACGTTATTCAAGGGTACGATTGCGAAGCCAGGATCTTGCCATGACACGCACTTCACACCCATGACATTTTCATCGTAAAGTTCCCATCAAGTTAAATCAAGTGACTTAAGAATCTATCTTGTTACTTTCCCATCACTTGAAGGCTCATCCGGAACTCATATCAGCTTTCGTTCTGCTCACTGACATGTTAAGTGCAGTTCTTTGTGCAAGGATTTTGAAACAAAAGCAAGACTGGGGGAAAAAAAAGCTAACCCGGTCTAACCAACACAGTCACTTAAGGGCCCAAATTCTACCTAGGCTTAGTATGTTGAGGCCATTTTTAAAAAAAGACAACAAATTACACTGGTATAGTACCCTCCTCTTTTTGAGAACGAGCTTGCTTCAAACCCTATTAGGCTGTCTCTGTTGAGAGCCTACATCGAGAGCATTAACAGATTGTGGAGCAGAAGAAAATATTGCCAGCAACTGATGGGGATGGATGTTTCTGGTGACACATGTACAATCAGTGTCGGGTGTACAACATGAAGCTCAATCGTCACTATATTTGCTACTGCGAACATCATTCGCTTCCAAAATACACAGTCACACTTCACAGTATATCCCATGAAGTGCTTTGAGATGTCCTCCCCATGTGGAAGGCGCTGTACAAAATGTAAGGATCATTATTGTCAATAAGGATCATTACCCTTTAAAAAAAAGCAGGAGAGTGAATCAGAAGCAGCTACTAATTACCTTGAGCCGAGAGCTCCAGTGGTGACTCAAAGGAGATCCGGTGAGGTGCCATCAGTGTCTTCAGACTCCTAAAGAGCTAATAGGCAAAAAAAGACAGGGATGAAATGTCAAGGAGGTTCCTGTGAATGTGCAGAGCAGTGAACAAGGGCATAGAGATGGTATGGGAGAGGGGATTAGGAAGGATAGAACCTCATGTGGAATATTAATGCCAATGTTGACTCGCTGAGTCAAATGGCCCGTTTGCACGTGACATACACATCACATCCCTCGGCTGCTCTGCCCACTTTCTTTCCTCCTCCTCCTGATCCTGTCCAATTTATTCAAATGAATCCCCAGTCATCGTGAAGCTTGTGCTGATGTTTGGCAGTAATGTTAAGTGTGTGCCTTGGGGACTCGGAAAGGCAGAGTGGTCAGTTGGGTACATCAGATGTGACTCCTGGTCTGAGCTGAAGAAAAGAGGGCTTGATGATTAATTGCAGCACAAGAAACATACTGCAGTGATGTTCAACCTTCTCGACAGCAGCAGCAGCTCAGCACTAAATCAATCATCCACCAATAGATGTTTAAATGTGGCAGCTTCACCACATGAATCCCTGCGTTTGGTCTAGTGGGAGGGAAAAGGAAAGGAGGATTTGAGGCTTAAAGCAAGAAAAGCTTCCTGTACGAAGGCTTGCACCTCCCAGGCCGTGAACCCACCCACCCTCCAATTGCGTTCATTCAAACTTTCCTGTACTTGACGTGCTGGAGATCGCTGGGAAGTGAACCAAAGGGCTGGGTTTCACAGTGACGGCTGAAACACCTCTTACCACTCCACCATCGAATTAATTCAAGACAGATGATATAAATGCATGTACTTAATGCTTCCCAAGATGGGTAAGTGTGCATTTGGTTGAGTAGATGCAATTCAAAAGTTGAGCAAAAGTCTGGCATAGCACGCAGAGAGACATGAGAGGCAGAAGATAGAGACAAGACACAGAGAACAGAAAGACAGAGAGTACAGAGACAGACAAGGCTGGTGGACAACAGAGGAGGCAAGAGGAGGTAAGGTGAAGACCTAATGGGATGCAGATCAAAAGATAAGAGACAAAGTGAGACCACAGACAAGTAACCGCAATTTTTCCGGTGGAGAACGATTACCGTAGTCACTCTTGCAAGGGTTAAAAAGTATTTCAACACTAAATATTGTCCTGTTTCAACGTTCTCTTCAGTTACACAAATCATATAGTGGTAGAAATTCCACACGGGTATAGATCTGCAGTCTATCTAAGCATTTCACTTGAATTTGAAGCAGTGCTCCTGTCATTTCTTTTAAGAACGGCAGAAAATTGGCTTCAAATCAGCATGACTCAATTCAATTCAAACAGTTAGACAAATTCTGCAGTAATGCCTCGTAAATAGAATGAATCTAGACCCAGGTAGAATATCTGGCCCGCAGTATTGCATCCAGAGCTAATAAACAAATCTGATATCCTCTGCCTCAACCAAACGCTCTCAATTTCAGAAACGCTCTCCTTCGGACAGATTTAAGATAAAACAATTCCACTTCCGTTTAAGGGTTAACAAAAGCTGTCAACCTCAATGGGGGCAGATGCTTCTATGCAACTTGCAAGCTTCAGAGTCACTCTCCTTGTCGGTTACATTTACCCAGCACTGTTGATTACCGATGAATAAAACATGCCGCCACCAACATAAAAATGGAGAAGGCCTGCAGGCTGTTCAAACAAATTGAGAGATTGCTCCTGGGCGGCGGGGGTGGGGCTGGGGTGGTATTTGGTACTAATGTTGTGAGTCTTCACAAGCATTCCATCCAGATAAGGGCTTCGCTAATAAAGCAGTGGATTTGAGTAAGCAGCTAGGAGATGAGAAGGCAGGTCCACTTGCCCATACAAGGATTAAGGTATTCGGAACGTAGTGAGCTACATTAACCTGATTACACACTGAGTCAAATCTCCCCCACACCATGCATAATCCATGGTTTGTAAGAGTGAATTGGCTGCTTATCAACTCTTCTGCTCTTCTGGTGGGGAGTGGGAGGTTTGGTGGGGGGGGGGGTGCGCAGAGGTTGCAGAAGGAGGTGAGGGGGGGGTCTCTTTGGAGCTGAATGCAACTGGCCCCAAAGTGACGTGCTTGACAACGGAGTGTCGGAATAGAGCCAACCCTCTGTGGTGGTCTCTGTGGTCCGTTTCCTGAGCCAGGCAAGACAGGCCTGCAGTACTCCAGGGCACTGCTGACAACAGCACAGCCAGATTGGCTCACCGGTGAGATTTGCAGGGCAGACCAACCACTAGCAGTAAGGATTCTTCCCACTCAACTAATGATCCCCCCCTTCCCCATTTAGCAAGCCAAAGCCCTAACAGCAAGCAATGGAAAGCTTCCCAGACAACGCTCTCAATGGCAAGCCGTGTGGGTTTGAGCTGGTTAAACTTTAGCAGTGATCTAACATGCAGTTTGGGGTCCCCAACCCTTGGCTCTTGCTAGCCTTCACCCAATACACCCAATACAAAAGGTGCTGACGTGCTGGGGTGCAGCTCCGTAAATACCAAGTAGCTGCCAGTGCCTCACCCAATCACCAATCGTTGCATGTTTCCCTAGCGCGTGAGTGTTGGTTACTGTGCGACTCCGAAACCTCACAGTGGGGTCTAATTCTACTTTTACCCATTGTCCACACACACGCACTACACATTCATTGGAAGCTAATGTATTCCCTTCCCTAAGCTTAGGTTCTCCCCTTGATTTGCCCCGCGGATTCATTATAAAACAGTTAACCTGCCCCCACCCCACCATAACTGTATTTTCCCATTTCCCCAGCCTGACTCACACCTACCTTCTCTCCATTGGGGTTTCCCAGGATGTAACACCCCATTATATGAATCACATTTGGCTCTGGATTTATCTTACTCATGAGCTTGCTCAGACGTTTCCAAAATCTGTAAGAAACAGAAACAATTAATCCAGCGGGAATCAAAGATTGCAGCTTCATGGGCGACACTGCAAGATGTGATAACATCGCTGTTACCAAATCCTCGGATTTCCTTGCGATAAATGTTAAACATCCCGGTGCAATCATTCAACAGAGATTGACTGAGTATTTTGTGGGTGAAACGGGGCAGCCAATTGCGCACAGCAATGTTCCACGAGCAGTTAAAATATAATAAAAGTTTTTGAAACATTTTATTTTAAAGGTTAAACTCGTTAAAAAAAAAAGTTGCCTGTAAAAGAGTTGAAAGGCAGAAGAGAGAGCGAGGGTCACACTCAAGGAAGATACAAGCAATATAAAGAGATAAAAAGATTGTGAGTGACTAGTTTCACGAGGTGTCGCTCCTTCTATTCACTCCACCAAAGACCAAAGCCCACAAAGCAGCGGGTCAGAATTTCAACTGATAGGCCAGGGACTTGGGACAGAAACTCACTGATGCAGTGTGCGATCCAGCCAGCCACTTAGCAAGAGATTTTCATCATCATTACACTAAATCCATTTCACGGGGAATGATGATATAGATTAACACGGAAAGACGATAGAATCTCATTTGTAGCCATTGATCTGTGGTAAACCTTCACAGAAAGCTGCGGCGTTTTAGTTTTTAATCCTGTTGTACGCAAATTAACGATGAGAATGCATGAACTCTTCCTCACCTCCTACCCTCGCTGCACAATCCTTTTTAACCACAAGCAATTATTCTGTGTTGTGAATCCATCCTTCTGAAGGACTACAGCGAGCAGGGATTTTTCCCACTCAGCTCCACTAACCTGCTTGTTAACACTAACAGGGCTTGGTCTGAGATGGGCAAAGAGTGGGAAGCTTGCCAGACGGTGCTCTCAATGGCAAGCTATGCGGTTAAAATGGGGTAGATATTTGTTAGGTCAGGGTATTAAAATATACGGGGTAAGGGCAGGTAACTGGACTTGAGGTACAGATCAGCCATGATCTTATAGAGTGGCGGAACAGGCTCGAGGGGTCGAATAGCCTACTCTCGTCTCTCTGCTTCCATGTTTCTAATTTAAATGGGGAAAGGGTTAAGGGGGAAGGGTTTCCAGGGAAAGCCACAGACCAGTGAGATTCCGGGTACAAACAAACAATGTTTACTCACAGGATGAGGTCCTCCTCCTTCCCCACCTTCGCAAAGGTAGCGACTTTATTCTTCAGCAGGTACAAATGGCCAGGACCTCCCTGCAGATAAAGCAGAAGATGATTGGTTTCCTTGTGACGTGGTCAATGCGGTGCATTTGGAACTGCAAGGACCAGGAGGTGGGAATGCAGAGGAGCTGGCTGAGCCCCAATCAACAGCCTACGTTCAGCTGGTCTAGGACGTTTGCATGATACCATTCTCAACGGGGTTAAATGACAGAAAGATGCCAGATGCCTTTGCTAGCCAATGCCACAACAACGCACACTCCTTTCATGTGAAAGCAACAGCAGCAACTTGCATTTATTTATACAGCGCCACCTCACGCAGGGTAGCTTGATCTCAAAGCCCCTTTGCAAAATGAAATTAATCCGAAGTGAAAAGATGCAGGATTTTGGAGAATGAAACCATTTGCTATGAGTCGACTGACTTATCCGGTGACTGACTGACTTCTGTGACTGGAAAGACAGACCCACCTGACAGAAAAACAGCATTTTCCAGATTTTGCAGCCCCTCCGATAGGCATTTAGCTTTTTCTCAATCTCCTCTGTGGACAGACCGAGAAACAGGCTTTTAAAACGTGGCACTCACTGAAACTTTACCCTCTCGATTCTTTTAAAACCTCCTGAATTGCCATTCCTCAGACGCTAAGAACCAGGCAGGTCCTCGGTCACCACACCCAAATCAACGTGCTTCTCATGTGAGTGAGTGCATGTGTGTTGACAGCAAACAAGGGCAGGGTCAGATCTGGCTCCACTGTAAGAAAGGAGACAGGAATACATGGGTGTGGGAGGGGGGAATAAGGAGTGATGCAGGCTAAAGTGGGAGTATAAACTAGATGGAACATTTTGTGCAATTCCACAAAGATGCTGACAAAATACATGAAAAGCCGTCACTTGAGAGAGAGGTATTCCTCAGTCGTACGGCAACTGAGGGACTTTATCTCAGCTTCATCTTCAAATGAGAATTGTACAACATCGCAGCTCTCTTCATTGTATCGCTACGGATTCAGAGAGAGGCACTCACCTAAGATGTCATCGAATGTAGCGTGTTCATGATCCTGAAAGAGATCACATGAAGATACGTGAAGAACAATTTTTTTTAACATAATCGATAATAAAGTGTACATTTACACTCTTGCAGCAAAAATTCCCATTCCAGAGAAGAAAAACGGTAAAACGGGTGGGGAAGGGGAAAAAGATGCCTGAAAGTGGGAGTCAAAGAGGAAGGTCTTGAGATGGACCCTCAATGAAGTGAGGGAGGGAGCAACTTGGAGGGATGACGTTCCAGAGAGTTGGGCGCAACACAGCTGGAAGCCCCCAGCCGACTTGCTGATGGCAGAGCGGGTAGGATGGGGGACTTGAAACAGCCCGGTGCCCACTGAGCGAAAAGAGTGCCCGTGTCCGTAGGGTTTGAGGAGGTCACTGGGATAGTGGTGGGGCAACGACTATGTGGGAGGGATTTAAAGGTTGAGAACAAGAATCCTGAACTCCAGATAGCTGCATGGAATCAACCTGTGGTCAGTCTTGCTTTGCCCCGATGCGGTATCAAGGGCCCAGCCCATTCCATCCCGTACTCACGTAGAGGATGGGAATGATGGAGGGGTTGTCTCTGCGAATGATCGTCGGGATGTACTCTGCCTTAGGCACCTTGGATGAAATGAGCTGGAAATGAAACAACATGATTAGCTGATGGTGCGAACAGCCGGAGTCAAGGGACCCGAGTGGGACTGAGAACAGCAAGAACAGAAGGTCACGACTGGCTTCCCGACCGAGCTCCACTGTTAGCCACACGTCAACGAACAGTGCATTCAATTAGTACGGGATAATTAAACTGCTTCAGCCAAATCTGTGTCGAGGGTTTGGTTTGTCAATTTAACAAAACAATTGAACTTACGTTTGAGGCAGCACCTTTCCTGTCGGGAGGTCGCAATCCTCCAAGCGCTTTACACGATAAACTCACGCAAAAATGTCGCCCGCAAAATAAACAGTCAATCCTCTTTACGGTATATCCCGCGAAGCGCTTTGAGATGTTACAACGACGTGATAAGGTGCTGTATCAAATGCAAGGGCTATTATTATTATCATTATAAACGGTGACGTGCAATGACTGCGTGATTTGTAGTCAAGCACGACCGTCAATTAACACTCTTCATTATTCGTGGTTTTCTTGGAATTAATTAATCCGTCTTTCAGCTGATCATCATCATCATAATAATAATCCTTGCATTTGGCCAAGCGCCTTAACATGTCATCGAGACGTCTCAAAGCGCTTCACAGAATAGACTGTATCATTAAACAATAGAATATTACAGCACAGAAGGAAGCCATTCACCCCATCGTGAAGTACCGGCTCTTCAAAGAGATACCAAATCAGTCCCGTTCCCCCGCTCTTTCCCCATATCCTTGCAAACGTTTCCTCTTCAGGAACCTATCCAATTCCCCTTTTGAAAGTTGTTACTGAATCTGTTTCCACCGCCCTCCCGGGCAAGTAATGTGAATCTACTGTATGTTTTGCGGGCGAAACGAGGGCTTCACCTAACAGTCGCAGCAACTTTCCATAGTATAAAATTCCAGAGTCGAGTGGTCGTACCATAATCTTGGGCGAGACAAAGTCTTCTCCATCGCAAGACAGCGACTCCAGTTCCTTCTCCGCCTCCCAGGTCAGATCATCGAAATCGTCGTCTAACGCGCTGCACGAGCTCTGCAGCTCCTGACCTGGTGCCACGGAGAGATGGAGATCAGACCCTAGGCGTTACTGTGGAAACGGGGCCTCGCTCCGGCTGAGAGGCCCTTTGAAGTGAAGGTTTTTTTCATAAAGAAACACCGTCGGGGTGTGGGACATGGGCTTCAAAGACATCCTAATCTGTCCGCTCGGATTTCTCACGCGCTCATTGAGCACAGCGTGAGAACCGCACGCGATGGAGGCTTGTTTCAAAGAGCAGAGGATAAAGGCTGCGGACAAGTGACGTAAGGATTAGGACGCTGGAGTAATAATCAGTTCACTCCAGGGACTGAGAGCCTACAGATCACACGCTATATGACACGAGAGGTCCACCCCCATCTCTCCGTCTCTCTCGTCACGATTACGTGAAAGTCACTCGCTCCGCAAAACAAATATTGCATTATACGTCTGAGCTCTCAACAGACAGGCGTGCTCCCAAGCAGATTACAAATCACCTGAAATCAAATCGGAGGGGAAATTGAATTTGACCTCAATTTGGATGATGAAGTTTGTTGGGGGGTGGTGGGGGGAGCGGGGTCTTTGCAATCATCTGATTTAGCCACACGTGACTGACCCGCCAACAAGGTCAAGATAGCTTTCCAAAGTTCTATCAAGCTGCCTGGGTTTAGGGGTTTGGGCAACACTAACCCCTTCTCCCCCCCCCCCCCCCCACCTCCCCAATCCCACACCCGTGCTCCCCAGCTACTCTACCATACAACTGTCTGATCTCTAACTCATTCTATCTAATAGAATGGCAGAACAGGCTCCCTGTTCCTACGCAACAGACTCTTTGATCGACCAGCTGTCAGTTAGAGCCCTGCCTACATGTCAAGGTGTTGCAGGCTATACAGTGCCAACAGTGGGAGAAATGTGTCAAACCTACTCTCTCTCGAGCCACACAACAAGTCGGACTTTATTGGGGTGGGGTCACTCCAGGAGCGGCTGAAGCTCTTCTCACGACGCTCAGCAAAGCCTGAAGAGGAAAAAACAAGCAACAAAAATTATATATATGTGTGTATACATTATAACGCATGTGTAAGGGGCATGTGTAACAACAACTGGTATTTGTATAATGTCCTTCACGAAACCTTAGCTAAGTTTCTTTACTCCACACGCCTCTGTTTACATAGCATTAAGTAGGACGTTAAAGATCCCACGATGCTGTTAGTCCATTGGCAGATAGTTTTCCCAGGCGTTAATAATCCCTTCAAATTAAACTAATCATAATAATTTGGTCAAACAATCCACGGCTGTTTGTGGGACACTGCTGTGCGTAATTGGCTGTCTTGTTTCGCCCACGAAATACACAATCACAGCACTTTACAGATTATTCTGTGAAGTGCTTTGAGATGTCTCAAAGACATGATAAGGCACTATATCAAATGATTATTACTATGCAATAGGATCTAACTTTTCCCTCTCTCCAGCAGCCCAACACACGGTGACATTTTAGTATAGCCGGCAAAGTCCTCGCGTCTAAATGCACCCTCTGTCTTACACCATGTGACTGTGACCAATTAATTTCCCCGAGCACTCATGCCGATGTTTCCCACGGTGAGAAAGACACTCACGTGATTCATCAATCCGACACAAAGACCACAGGGGATGCCTTTAATTAATCTTCAACAGAAGCAAGCTTATAAAGAACTTTAAGTATGCATTGGCTTTAAATAATGCCGGAAGAGGCTGCACAAGGCAGATGAAAAGGTGAGTTGCACTGATGTAATTTCACCCCAAGAATGCAATAAGAAATTAAACCATGACACAGCTCGGGACTCAGATTGATTTGATTTCCGATGAGTCTGCCCAATAACCCTCTATCTTCCCTTGTACTGTTTTCAGAGTTGAATTAAACTCAGGACTTTTGAGATCCCGATGCTTCGGCCTCATCTTACAATAATAATTCTATTAATCCTTGCAAAGCATTCGTCGGCAAAATAAAAGGGGAAAAATGCACGACTGCACGTTTGGAGATGCCATCCTTCGGAGATCAGACGTCAACTCAAGGTCCCGTCTGCCTGCTTGGATGGACGTTAAAGATCCCACGGTGCTATTCGATAACAGAAGCACATTTCTCCCACTGTCCTGGCCAACAAGCCCCCAGATAAAACTGGTCACTGACTTCATAGTTGTTTGTGGGACGTTGCTGTGTGCAAATTAACTGCCACGTTCACCACAGAACACACGTTCACTACGCTTTAGAGTGTATTGATTGCTGTTCCATTGAGTGACCCAAGGACTGATTCCGTTCGTATATTTCGATATAAGGCGGAGAGGCAGACAGACAGAGAGGGGGTGAAACATGCTGGCAGGCAGACAAGGTCTCCTTCACTTACCTTGCAATCTGATTCTACGACTTCCGACCATTCGGAGGTGCTTTCGGAAATTTCTGTGGGGAAAAGGTGGTGGGGTGGGGTGGGGTGGGGGGAGAGAAAAAAAAAGCAAACTTTCAAACCTCCAAAGACTGAGACCAGATCTTACAGTTTGAGGCAGTCTCGTCCCAGGGGTGAGGGAGCGCGAGGGCTGATTCCAAGGCGACCCACTTTATTCCTCGCCCAAGGATAAGAGCTATCATCCTGTAACTGGGTCAACGATAGCTGCGCAGAGGTAGCAGTGGGTGAGATAGAAATGGTACTTAGTGAACGACTGTAGAATCTGAGAACAGTGACTGTCACAGGAGAGAAGAGACCCTGAGCTCCGTACCTCTGTATCACAGCAGCAGATTCGTTCTCGCGCTTCCTTCTCTTCCTCTCTGCGTAGCCTCGGAATGCGCTAGGAAGAGAAATGAGAGGCATTTACCTCACCCGTTTTGGAGGGAGGGGTGGGGGGGGAACAAAAAAGAAAACGCAAAGTAATCTTGTTTCGTGCGATACAGGAAGACGGTAAGAGATAAGTCCAAATACTCACGATATCCTTTGTGATGGATGGGATGACGGGGAGAGAAAGTGAAGAGGAAAAGGAAGGAGTCAGTAAACAAACAGAGCTTTGGAGTTAAAGACTCCGCTGAAACACACAGTAAAACAGCAAATCGTATCTTTCAAGGCACCACATTCCCTCTACCGAACTCAAGACTGACTTGCTCCATGGACAAAACGTGAATGTTTAAGGAATTATACTTGCGGGGGAGCTAACACCAGCGCACATATGAAGAGGAATGAGCAGAGAATGGGATCAGAGAAGATAATTAAACCCTTGCATTTGATAAGGCATCTTGCGGGTCAGGAAGATATCGTGTATTTGCATTTGATAGAGCGCCCTATCAAGCCATTGAGACATCTCAAAGCGCTTCACAGAATATACTGAAAAGTGTAGTGACTGTGTATTTTGTGGGCGAAACGCAGTAGCCAATTGTGCACAGCAGTGTTCCCACCAACAGTCGTGGATTGAGTGACCAAATATTTTTTTAGGGGGGTGAGGGGAGGGAATATTGTACCTAAGGTTTCGTCCTGCCTGGGAATCGAACCCGGGTCCTCTCGCTTGCGAGGCGAGTGCTCTAATCAATTTGCTACAGGACTCCAATTTCAGAAGACAGCTCTTGTGAGGGAACTAACACCGGCCACAGACACGATGAGGAAAGAGCAGAGGAAAGGGATTAGTGAAGACAGCTCTTCTGGGCACAGATAGTCTTGGGGGATTGCACAGCTGCTGCTGTTTGAACCTGATCCTGACGTATATCCACTGCCCATTCATCATGCCTGAATGAATCATGTGAAGGAGATGGCATTACATCTCTATTCGACTGTATCTTAAGACTTTTGTTAAATTGATAATCTTCTTAACACATGTTCCAATGCAGCAAATGCATGGGCCACAGGCAGATACCCAGCGCTGACATAAGGAATGCCATCTGCTGTCTCTCTGGCGTACACGATGCTGGTCACACTCTGCGACCTCGCTCCCGAGATTCTGATTGCGAAATGGGACGACGAGGAGGTCTTATCGGTGTGTGTCTCTGGCAGCAGGACAGCTGACATTGCAACCGCTCTGTCAGCACTCTGGGCAGGCGGCCAAACCACCAGAGATCCAGATAGTACACTGCCAGTAGTTATTGCCACCCACCTCCTGGTGAAGTGACGCAGCCAATGCAGCGAGAAAAAGTGTATCAGCCTCCCTTCCTCCCTCCCTTCCTTTGGTGAACCACATCCATCCCCACCTCCTCCACCAGCAGCGCATTCCGGTTTAATTCCGTCCTGTGGGGTATCAAAGTCTGCATCCACCAAGGCTCGGTTGGTAGCACTCTCATCTCTGAGAGTGGGTTCAAGCCCCACGTCGGGATTTGGAACTCACATCAACGAGGCTGACAATCCAAAACAGTGCTGCATTGTCAGAGGTGACGCCTTTCGGGAGAAACATTAAACCAAGGGATGTCTGTGTCTGTTCAGCTGGACGTTAAAGAGATCGCTTGGCACGATTTGAAAAGAGACGGTGAGTTTCTTCCGGTGTCCTGGCCAGCAATTCCCCAGCTAAAATCGGTCAATCACTTCATGGCTGTTTGTGGGACACTGACATTATTGAGTGCAAATTGGCTACTGCATTCGTTTACAAATTGCAGTCACTGGACTTTAGGGTGTAACCTGTGAAATGCTTTGAGGCCAACATAAAAGGCACAATATTAAATGCCAAAGAAACTAAACAGAAGGGTCTTTCAGGGAGCTGGCACAGACAGAGTGGACTAAAAGGCTTCCTTCTGTACTGTAAAATTCTGCGTTTCTATGCCCAGTATTCACTATTCTGTGGGAATAACAATTTCTTCTAACCTTTTAGTCCCTTTTAAGCCTTTTTAATAGTCTTCTCTGCCGTTTTTGTTCAAATAACATCTACCCGATCATTTTGTAAACCCTGCATCATGAACCTGCCCTCAATATTCTTTTCTAAACTCCAAACAACCCCAAGCACTTGAATTCATTACAGATTGCATTGCCTCCACTGAATTAAATTAAATAGAATTGAATCCAGAAATGCAAGCGTTCCCCTTCTACACTGGTTCCCAAATCCTGCGCTGTTTGATATTCATTGCGTTCGCTGGGAACCCACTAAGGAGCAAACTGACTTCTCAAGTTCAGGCACGTTTAACACCCGTAACAAAAAGCAGGAAGGAACGACCCTATTGGAAACGTACAGTGGAAGCTTGTAAGGTAACATTCCATTATTTAGATTAATGGGATGAAGAATGGGTGGATACCAAATTGAAGATCCCATGGCACTCTTCCAAAAGAGATGGAAGTTTCTTCTGGCGTCCTGACTAACAATCTCCCCAATAAAATTGCGCCTTTGTTTCATGGCTGCTTAATGAGGCACTGTGGGTGCAAATTGGCTGCCGCGTTCAACCCCACACACCTGACAGTAACTCCTGTGGAACACTTTGAGAGATTGACGACAGTGTCATACTCACGCCTGCATGGTGGTTGTCGGTGAGGGGAAAGTGAAGAGGTTTTCCTTCGGGAACCAAGTGCGGATTGGAACGTCATCTGCAAAAGATCACATTTCACTCAGGGTGGGGGGGGTGGTGGGGGGGTGGCAGGGAAACATATCTCCTTGTATCTTAGAGCAGCAAATCTGCAGCCTGCCCGGTGACAGGCATGAGCGACCATTATCAAGGGGTGAAACAAGAGGACAACAGGCAAGAGAGAAGAGATTTGAATGAGTTCTCTAACAGGGCAATCAACGTGGCAACGTATAAACACACCGGACCCGCGATTTCCACCTGAACTGGTCTACGCCCATGAGACCGCTTTGCCTTCCAATTTAAGATTAAGCAGAACTGCGGAAAAATTCGGAAGCCAATTCTATCGACTGGATCCTGTCACGCGTTTTCAACGCTGCCCTCTCTCCATTCTCGCCACATTAAATATTTATTCTTTTCATCAAATTGAAGAATGCCAGACCTTAAAGTAAGAACTGTAGAGTGAACGACACTACACAGTGGGAGGTCATTCAACCGTTATTTCTCATCAGTGTTTGCTCCTACAAGATGCCGTGTGTCTGAATCCCAATTCCCTGCTCTTTCCCCTTACCGTCTAATAACAATAATAATAAAAATCCTTGCAGTTGATAGCCTTAATACTGCACATGCTTCTTTGAATACACCTACTGCTCGCTCCCCCCTCTGCCTTGCTCAGTACTCAACCCTATTATTGTAAAACACTTTGAGTCATTACTCTTCCTCTGTGAAGGGCAATATAAACAACCACCACAACTTGCATTTGTACGGTGCCTTTCACACAGGGTTTTGTCCTGGAACGCTGAACAATGGGGGAGTCTGATACCTGGTCGGGGAGAAAAGGGAGGTGACCTTAGGCACGGTCGGAGAGGAAAGTCTTCAGGTGCGATCTGAGGATGGACAAAGAGGGGGCAAAGCAGAGGGATTGAGGCAGGTTCTGAGCATCGAGCCAGCTGAGCGAAGGGGGCTGGTGGAGGAATGGAACGTGAGCAGGTCGGAGAGGTACAAGTTTGTCGCCCAATTCGTCTTTAAATGCCCCCCCAAACTGCTCGACTCTCCGAGAATTTAAATTATTCTGCAATCTCTATAAAATAATTTATTGACAAAAAGCATTACCCCGCGACTAATTCCCACTTAAAGAGAATAGCTCTGCCAGCACTATAACAAGGCAATCGAATCATTGATAAGGTGATGACAACCACCTGATGATGCCTCATATTCAGAGATCAAAGCTGGAAGCAAACCATTTCTTGGGCAGAATGGGGTGGTGGGGGGGCGGGGGGGCAGGGAAGGGAAGTGAGGGATGTGGAATCCTGCGCTATTAATGTACATCATGCATGGAATTTTCCAGGAAACAGCTGCAGATAAATCAGACGCGCGTTGTCTCAGGTCGCTAATCCTCACTGATGATCATTACGCACCCCCAGAAAAGTCAAGCCCATATATACTTTACCTAGAAAGACTGAGAGCAATCCCATGCTTTCAGTCTTCGGAGGGACTGAGTGCCTGAATAGAAACACTGGCCTGGATCCAAACACTGGGCTGGGATAACAGTCTCCTTTGTTGACTGATTCCCCTCTCACCGCCCCCTCCCCTTGAACGTATTAGTCCATGGTCTTGAGAGGAGACGATACAATACAAGATCACATTTGTATAACGCCTTTCACGCCGGGAGGACGTCCCAAGGCGCTGGAGATGTCTCAGAGTGGGCTTTTTCGAAGTATATAAAGTGTTAAATGGGATTGAAAAGGTAAAGTAATAATTTGGGACGTAGCGAGACAGCAGAACACGAAAGGACGCGGGTTTAGAGTTGCAAAGTGCAATTTCAGGACAGACACCAGGAAGTATTTCTCTAGCCGGTGGGTAATTCATTGACTGGCTACTCACCGGACACTTTGTCCACGCTGTACATCCGCTCCAGCTTTTTCCGGTGCCGGGCCGCCTCACGGGACTGCAGATGGTCGAGGTCGAAGGAATGGTTTGAGGAAACGGCGGCTTTCCTGCAGCTGGAGCAGTCCTTGGAGCTCTGCCTGCTCCCCGCCCAGCTCTTGCAGTGCTTGTTGACGCTGTGCGAGCTGCCGGAGCTGTGCAGTGGGTGCCCCGATTTCCCCGACCGCTCGCTGCCCATCCCCGTCGCCTCGTTCTCGCTCTCCGACAGGAGCTGGGACTCGCCGGAGATGGTGTACACCCTGGGCTTCTGGCCCTCGCTCGACCTTTCCGACCGCTCGTCAGAGAAGCTCCTCTCGAACTTGCCGTGCGAGGTGACAGACAGCCTACGCTTGTTCTGCGAGACCGGAGACTGAAGCTGGGACGTGTCGTCGGGTTCTAGGAACGCCTCGGCCAGAAGATGCTCTGGAAGGAAAGGAGAGGAATGCAGCACAAGGGGCAGACAAACAGGGTGTAAGAGATCCGTACATCTAACAAAGAGCATATCTGTGTATCCAACACAATTGGCAAAACAGCCTCCATCACCCGAATGGGCCACTCCAAGTCTTCTGTTACTGCGAGAGAGCACTTTATGTCTGAGGCACTGCTACAGCTTCTTATCAGGACAACGCCAATCAAATGGTTACGAAACAAATACAGACTGTCAAACTAAGTGATGCACCACTTGCTCTTGTTCACCGTCTGATTGACGGTGAAGAGCCTGGTGACCAGCAGACAGTAGGAAAGTTGTGTACCGTTATACTGGTCAACACTCCCCCCAATGATCGCTCACCTCACGGCTCTTTGTGGGTCATTGCTGTGTGCAAATTGGCTGCCTACAAATACAGTCGCCACATTTCACAGTAAATCCCTTTGAAGCTCTTTTGGGACGTCTCAACGATGACGTGATAAGGCGCTGCGTTAAATTATTCAAAGCAAAGATTATTATTATGACTGTGTGACATTTAGTGTGTGTTTAGGTGGAGTGATTTACAAATGAGGCAGCGCTACAGAGCTTGGGAAAGTGATAATAATAATCCTTGCATTTGATACAGCGTCTTATCACTTCATTGAGACGTCTCAAAGCACTTTACGTTAATAAAAGAAGTCAAATAAAAATGTCTGGTTTTAAGTCAATTTAGAGAATTCCTGATCCCCCAGCGGGAATCCCGAACCCATCAATAAAAGTCTAGAGGCATTTATATTTAATAATTATTTCTGCAACATTGCTAGAAGGAGAATATAAAGGGTAACGCAAAAAACCTCGGAATCAAGAAGCAGATTTTTTTGGTGTGCAGCTTCTGAAATCTGTTTTCCCTGTGCAAACCGGATTGGCATTCTGTTTGAAGTTTTCGATAGGATCATTAAACCCCAGGGGGAGGCAGGGACAGAGTCAGAAGGCAGTGGCACGAGCTTGGTTCCCTGGCTAGGATGTTCTCTGTGCGATCTCACAGATTTACAGCTGCGAGGGCACATGTGGAGCTGCCACACCATCAGCAGCTGCACGCAGCAGGCTGCCCTCTCAGGGAACGACACTAATAGATTACATGTGGTTACAACATCGCACAGACTGCACAGCAATGTAACAGGCCATTCGGCCCGACTAGTCTGTGCCGGCGTTAATAATTCCACATGAGCCACTCACCATCGGGGGCCGAGCTTTCCGATTCTAAGCTCCTCACCCCCCGGAATTCCCTCCCTCTTACCTCCGCCGTGCCCTATCTCTGTCTTCAAGTCCCACCTTGAAACCCACCCCTTTGATTGCACCCATGGTTATCTCTCCCTTCCCTCTCTCTCCTGCTCGAGGGTCCATCCCCGCCATTGTAAGGCGCTCTGAGACATTATGCTAAGCGGAGAGGCTACACAAAACCAAGTTGTTTTCATTTTCAGAGCCTCCTATTTCCCTCTCCTATATATCCCTATATTCTCCTTAAACTTCGAGCTACATACATTGATTGCTTTCTTAAATACATTGACGCGTTCTGCTTCAACCACAGCTTCCATATTCTCACGTAAAGAAGTTCTCCTCCTACGCGTATTGTCGGCTATTATATGCTCCTCGGCTTATTCGCTATTTTTGACATTATACGTCATAGCAGCGGTACCCCACCACAGGTCCAGACTCAAGGGGAGGGGAGGAAATTGTAAGGAAAGACAGAAACAAAATAAAACTGATGTAAGAGCTTGAGATTCCCTCAAAAGTCCACTTATCCCAGTGGTTAAAGTAATGAAAGGAACCTGCAGTTTCTAAGTGTCTGCGCTTGTCTCCGAACAGCACTGCGAGACTGAAGCTGGTTACAGATACATCACAGCACCCAGCTTCGGCATTGACAACTTTGCCCGAGGTCTGCCTTCACCGAGCGCTATAATGTAAAGGACGGTCTCATCTGCAAATGAATGAAGAGTGTGCAATTTCTTTCATGTGCAAAACTGGGGTAGTGAGAACCAGCAGGACTGTTTGGCGAAGAAGGGCATCACAACGAAGCCTGATCTTGTACTCACTGATCACACTCACACACACACACACACGCACACACAAGCCTACACACGCAGCAATACTCCATACAATCACAGGTACACAAATCCAGAGTTCACGTGCACAACTCTTTAACAACCCTTAGGCAGTCAGTGCCAAATACCACGTTTAGATGAAAATGTTGAACGCCTCTGTACTGTGAGACAGGAGCGCAGAAACACACAGTTGATTATTGTTAGGCTGAGGCTTTTTGGGTTGAAAACATTATGGATGGCAGTCATGCATTGCAATGCAACATTCTTTAACTAATACTTTGACTGGTCAGTCCTAACTAATTCTAACTAATTCTAATTCTGTGCAAGCCAAACACTTTTACAACACGTGGGTCCAGGACAACAACAACAAATTATATTTGTACAGCGCCTTTCAAGTCTGGAGGAGCTTTCAAGTGACCCGAGCTGGTGGTTGGGACCAGGAGGGGTGGAGGGCGGGGAGGGTAGGGTTAGGAGCGCGACTGAAGGCACAGTCGAAGAGGAGGGTCTTTGAGACCCCTTTTGCAGACGATATTTACGAATAATATTTAATAATCGGAATAATATTTCATCACGATAAGTAAGCGCTGATAAGGGAGATAAGACAGTCCTTACCTGACACATTACTGCTACCGGGATCACCGTCAGCCTGACTCTGTGACAAATACTCCCCAAAGGCTCTTGCTGCTCTTCACGTTGGAATCCACAACACAGCGGTCGAGAGGGAGAGACACACACACACACACACATGAGAAGGAGACCAGACGCTCATAAAAGTTCACAACAATAACAACAACAACTTGCATTTGTTTAGCGTCCCACATTTTCCTTACTTAACCGGCTCACTCAGATCCACCTATTTGAAATAACTCGAGGCGTTTTAAAAGGACTTCAGGGAGAGACTGGCCATGCCGTCCGCAGCCAGGGAAAGGAGGGCAGAGTATAAAATTTGCCGGAGATCAATAATGTCACGACACGTTACAGTAAATTCTGTGAAGCACTCTGAGGAGACGTGATATATCAAATGCTATATCAAATGCAAGGATTATGACTATTATTATCAGTATTAATTAATAATTAGCTGCAATGCGATCAGGATTTCAGAGCGATCGGAAGTATAAGTGAACGAACCACGATATAAATAGTCAGCGTGTACTATTTAGCGGTTTATATAATCCTGGCAAATGTGTCTCACTTTTGATGTATAAAGATATGCTGTAAGCTCTCAGAAAGTGACAGTGCAGTTCCACCAACTCCCAGAACAGTGCGCTAAGATATCTGAACTCGAGGAAACGGCACAGAGAGAGGGGCCAAAGTGGGACAGCTGCAGATACAGACATCAAGGGGGAAAAAGAGTCAGAACCACGGAAGGGAGAAAGAACAAAAAGAGAAAGAGAGAGAGAGAGAGAGCGAAAGGGGCATAAAATCATCCTTGCATTTGACATAGAGCCTGGTCACGTCTTCCAGACGTTTCAAAGCGCTTCACAGAACATACTGGATGTTTTGCGGGCGAAAGAGAGAGTCTCTTTGTATAGAGACCAAGGAAGAGAAGCGACAGCAGAGAAACTGAGAGAGAGCGAGAGAGAGAGTGAGAAACAGAGACTGAAGAAGAGAAGAAAGAGAATACAGGGACAGAAAGAGAGAGAGAGAGACACACACACACACACACACCACACAGGTAATAATAATAATAATTATCCTTGCATTTGATATAGCGCTTCTCACGTCTTCTCGACGTCTCAAAGCGCTTCACAGAACAGACTGTAAAGCGAATTGACCGTATATTTGTGGGCGAAACTTAGCACTTAGTGTCTTTCGGATGAGACGTTAAACCTCGGTCCCGGCTGCTTGTGCAAGTAGACAACAAACCTTGACAACAAACCCCCAAATGAAACGTTAGAGCGAACCGCAGCAAACGCGATTTTTGTTTTTTTTGCCATCATTTCAATTAAAATCTCTATTTTTTCTCTCTTTTTTTTTAATATCAATAATAAAAAGATATAAAATAAATAAAAAAATAAACAAACAAAACAAAACAAAACAAACCAAACCAAACCAACCCCCCAGGAAATCAGGAAAGGTCTAATAAATAAAGACAAGTGATGAGAGGCAAAGAGCTTCACGTTTTGGACCTACCCCACAAGAAAGATAACAGTCGCAACAACTTCATGCAATTTCATCCCATAACAATCTGACACAATAACTTAGTATTATTGTTATGTCCCCCACCCCTCCAACTACCCCCTACCCCACCACCCCTCCAACTACCCCCTACCCCACCACCCCTCCAACTACCCCTACCCCACCACCCCTCCAACTACCCCCTACCCCACCACCCCTCCAACTACCCCCTACCCCACCACCCCTCCAACTACCCCCTACCCCACCACCCCTCCAACTACCCCCTACCCCACCACCCCTCCAACTACCCCCTACCCCACCACCCCTCCAACTACCCCCTACCCCACCACCCCTCCAACTACCCCCTACCCCACCACCCCTCCAACTACCCCCTACCCCACCACCCCTCCAACTACCCCCTACCCCACCACCCCTCCAACTACCCCCTACCCCACCACCCCTCCAACTACCCCCTACCCCACCACCCCTCCAACTACCCCCTACCCCACCACCCCTCCAACTACCCCCTACCCCCCCCACCCACCCCCACCCCTCCAAAAAAAAGCACCAAAAGGCTTCACCTTAAATATTTCAGTCTGCATCAGCATTTGCAATAAAGACTGAGTTGCAAATCAGATCTCTGCTCTGCTCTCTCTCTCTCTCTCTCTCACTCACATCACATCACTTACCTAACCTTAGCTGCTGCCGAGGAGATGGCATCGCCCCTCATGTTCCTCCTCTTGGACACTGCGCTTCCCATGCTGGATGGCAGGCAGGAGCACCACACTCATGGCAATGACAGCAGCCTCTCCTCGCCTGGGCATGGCAATGGCAATGGCAATGGCAATGGCAATGAGGAGGAGGAGGAGGAGGAGGAGGAGGTGTTTGCAGGCTGCACCTCCAGCCTGTGCCCCATTCCTCACCTCTCCTTGCCTCTCCTGGTCTGGTTTGAGGAGGAGGAGTGGGGTTGGGGGGGGGTTGGGGTTGGGGGGGAGGGAAGGCAGGGAAATTGGACCTGAATCTGCTGCTTCCCTGGGAACGAGTGAAGGAAGAGAGGAGAGAGAGAGAGAGAGAGAGAGGTTCCTGCAGGAAGCTGAGCTCCCAAATATGGACAACAGGGATGCTGTGCGCTTTCAGTAACTGTCTGACGCACAGGATAGGACGCAAAGAAGAGGAGAGAGTCAGCCAGTGCTTTGCGGGCGGGGCAACCAGGGGAGGGGAGGGGGGGTGTGTGACAGAGAGGAGCAATAGCCTTTACAGAGGGAGAAGGAAAGTGAGGGGGTCAGTGGGTGAGATATTAAACTTGCAGTCCCCCCCCCCCACCCCCCTCTCCCCATCACCACCACCAAACCCACCCAAGGGGACAAAAGGGTATGTATCACAGTGGGGCAAAGTGGCATCAGGCAGGGGAGTGGGCAATCTGGGGGGCAGATTGGGCAATGCAATTTTTTTTTTTAACAGACTATGATAATTTGGTCACCGAACCCACCGCTGTCTGTGGGCCGCTACCGAGTGCAATTGGCTGTTCCGGGTTTGGCCCCAAAAACTACGCGGTCAACCCACTTATGCAGTGTATCCCGTGAAGCGCTTTGAGGCGTCTCGAAGACGCGATAAGGCGCCGTATCAAATGCAAGGATTATTGTTATTATTATTATTATTAATGCAAGGAAAGGGGACATCAAACAGAGGGCAGAAGGAGGTTCAGGGAGGAGAGAGCGTCAGCCGGAGATGGGGGCGGCTTTCGGTAATCGAAACTGGAGGGGAAGGACAGAGACAGGAGCAGGATTGTGAGATACGCAACTGGCCAACATCAGGCTGGAGAGCAAAAACCATTCAGAACAGGGGCCACAGCCCAGTTGGGAAAGCTACTCGAGGAGTGTAATACCCTGTAATTAAGGGCTCGCGTGCATTAAATTGCTTATAATCACAAGGTACTATATCTTCAACGATAAAACCACGGGCAAAGCAAAGGAGAGGCTTTCGCTGCATAGCAACAAATAGAATATAGGTTGCTATGGAATATCAACCAATTAAATAAAAACAACGCTGCCCTATGAATCCTGATATCCAGATCTACTACAGCTCAGATCACGTTATTGTTGATTTAATCCCTTCCCTCCCGGTTTCATAATTTCACAAAAATCCACTGCCCTGCCTTAAAGGGCGCGAGGCAAAGGCAAGTTGTTGGTGTGGTGCGAAGTTTGAGCAATTTAAGTAGAAGCGGAAGAAAAAAAACTTGCATTTTTGTAGCTTTTTTTTTTACACACCAGAGTCTCAAAGCAATTTACGTTAATTACCGACAAGCGGGTGATTGTTTTAGCAGGCAAACCCGCAGTGGTTTCAACAAATATTCATGGAGTAAAGTAAAGTAATAAATAATCCTTGGTTTTGATATAACATCTTTCACTTTGAGAGGGCAATCTCAAAGGTCCTTTTGATCTTGGTTATAATATTTATATATTCAGTGGGGGCGAGTTAGTTTCTATTTGTCTAAAGTTGACAGAATATAAATCCCTTTTGGAAGGAACTTAATTCAANCCCCCCACCCCCGCGTCTCCCCCCACCACTGTGCTGGGTTCAGAGACTGAAACAATGGTCTTCTGGAACTTCTTCCCATCCCGAGTAAATCCATCATAATAAACCACAATAGACCGCAATAAATCTCTTTGCTCTTCTATAAATGTTTCACCAACATTTGACAATAATAATCCTTGCACTTGATTTTAATGCCTTATCAATGAATCAAAACATCTCAAAGCACTAAACAAGACTTACTGTAGAATATACCAACCCTGTGTTCTGTAGGAAACGGTGGCAAGTAGTTTGTGAACAGCAAAAGCCATTAAATCAATTACCAATTTTACCTGGAGAATTATTGACCAAAAGACCAGGAGGAACTTACTCGTCTTTTGGAATAGTGCCATGGGATCTTTATCGGCCACCTGCAGAGGCAGACGGGACCTTGTTTTAATGGTTCATCCAAAAGACAGCACCTCCGACAATGCAGCCCTTCCCCAGTGCTGTATTGGAGGCTTAGCCAAGATTATAAGCTCAAAGTGCCCTTAGCCCTACCCTCCCCGCGCCCCCCACCCCTCCCAATCCCAACCACCAATTTGGGTGCAGTTCCCTGACTGTGCGACGCCTTGTGATGTCTTCCTGACGTGAAAGGTGCTGTACAAATGTAATTTATTGTTGTTGTTGTTGTTGAACCAACAAACTTTTGTATCAGAGGTGAGATTGCAGCCAACTAAAACAGGTTCTTTGAATCTATTTCCCACTGTTAGAGCTTTATCCTGATAACACTTCTTCTGGGCGTGTTTCTACTCAATCACTTCCTTGAGATTAAGTTTCGATCTTGTCAGATGAATTCAAGGTCTCATCACTGGATAAATATCTACTGTCTTCTGACCAGTAATTGCATTAGGAATGTTCCTACAGCCAGAAAGGGCGTTTTCTACACTTTGTTGCTTTGGCAAACCTTTTCTTCCATCTTCTGTTGTTATTCAGTTCTCCATTTGATGGTGAACAAAGTCAAAATCCCCAGGGATCCAAAGAGAGTTGAAAATGGGATGAACAGAAGGTGGTAAACATATTAAATGACTACTTGTTGGAGATCTTTTGTTTCTACCAGGGAGGACGCTAATAAAATGCTGCCTTACATTTAACACATGCGTGAGATCCGTCACTTTGACATTAATAATCCCTGCATTCAATACAAAATGCCTTATTACATAGTCAAAACGTCTCGAAACACTTCTTAGGATTTACCCTGAGGTGCAGTGAACGCATTTTTTGGGTGCATGTGACAGCCAAATATGTACACAGCTACGCCACAGAAACAGCCATGAAGTGAACGACCAATTTTATTGAGGGATTGGTGGCCAGGACAACGGGAGATATTAAAACATTTAATGAGCCAGAGGTTCTAGGTAGGCTCTTGGGTGCAGAAAAAATAATAAATCCCCCAAGGACAGTAGACTATGCTCCAGGATACTGAAATAAACAAGAGAGGAGATTTGTAAAGCAGTGGCTGTTATTTGGGGGGAGTTGAATAGTGTTGCAGACATTCCTACAGAATAAAGAGAAGCAAATATGTAGTTTCCATCTTCAATAAGGTTGACAGTCATACCTGGCAAATTCCAAACTCAATTGTATTCATACCCTCAGCAATTCAAGGCAATTCAATTTTCAGGGGAAACTGTGGAGTCAATGATGTTAATACAAAGAAATCTCCGCAATTTATGTACCTGGGGTGATCATTGACAAACAAAGTTCAATTTGGATCCACAACAGATACTGCATATTGCAAGTAAGATTACAAGGGACAGGTATGCTCCAGCAATGAGCTTGAAGCTGCCAATGATGAAGCTGAAAGATACTTAAAGGTATATGCGACATGACTCATTGCTAACTGCATGTACAGTCAAACCTGATCAAGCAACCACCTCTATTTAGCAAACACACTCTGTAACAGCCTCGGTTCGCACACCAACAAACACTTACTCAGAGGCCACCCTTATATAGAGGCCAGATTGGCCCAGTCCCCAGAGAGGTTGTTGAATATTGGTTTGACTGTACTGTATGTCTTACGTGCAAACCATACGAGGCAACAATAACCGGCTACTTTGCTGACTCAGTTGAGTTTGAAGCAGACAACTTGGCAGCCCATTTCCTGTAACACCAGGCTGGAAGGTAGGAGTGAGCATGTTTGACTCCGGAGTTAGCTTCATTTGCTGGAAGCTGTAATAAATCTAAAAGGCAAAGACTCCCAGGTATCATAGCAAACAAAATTGCTCCTCAACAACCTGATTTACAGTCACTCTGTTGTCTCTAAAAAATTCTGCCTTTCATTGTTTGGAGTCCTGACAGCTCATTATTCTTCATTCACTGCGATCCACATAAGACATTATTCTACCTTTCACTTATTTGTTTCTTGACAACCCAGCACAAGGAAACAGACCACGGGACTTGCCTTTTGTAAACTGGATTGGATGCTGCACTAATCTTAATATTTGGCTTAAATTCAAACATCAGGACAGTAAATCGGTGACAAAATATTTACTGACTTGCGCCATGTCCTTTCTATCTCTTCCGTAACCTTCACTAAATTTCCTCCACGGTTTGGCCTTATCTTCTTCAGCCAGCACCTACCTAAGAGAACAGGATTATTTCTCCTTTTTAACGACAATTAAAAGGAATCTCTCTGACTGTTTGCCACACTCCCCCGGCAACAGAATTGTTTCTGTACACCGTGAAACTTCACCAGAATAACTTAAGGGAAGCATTTTCTTTTGTGTCTGTGGAAATTTCAAACAACTGCAGCCTGTTGTGCATGGTTACAGAAGGCTGTGGACCCACCCAAAGTGAAGATGTATTTTTAAGTATCTTTTCAATTTTACAAAAATACTTCAACTAGTTTTCTGCAGCAAACAATAATAGAATAGTCCTTGCATTTGACATAGCACCTCATCCAGGTTGTTGAAACGTCTCAAAGCGCTTCACGGAGCGTTTTAAATTTTGTGGGCATTGTGTATTTTGCGAACGAAACGCCAATCAGCCAATTGCGCACGGCAGAATGCAAACCACACACGGTGGCTTCACACTCACCCTGTTTCTGCACTGGGGAAATCAATCTTGGTCCCTGCTTTTTCCCTTCACAGTGCTTTTCATTTCTCTTCAGCACTGCTCATCACTGATTCCCCAAACAATTCCCGACACAAAAGGCTCTATATGAATGCAAGTTGTTAATGGTTTGTTGCAAAGTA